TTTCTTTTGGTTTTGTTTTGAGACAGGGTTTTCTGTGTAGCGCTGGCTGTCATGGGAGTTTATAGACCAGGCTGGCCTAGAACTTAACAAAGACCCGCCTGCCTCTGCCTCCTGAGCTCTGGGATTGCAGGCGTGTGCCACCACCACCCGGTGTGAACTTTTTCTAATACTTGCCACAGAATGTTAACTGTGTTATTCACTTTCTGACGTGGAGCTTGTGAAAAAGCAGTTGAAGAAGCACCGCTCAGGGGAGGAGCATGAGAAACTGCAGCAGCTGCTTCAGCGGATGGTGAGTAGGTGGGTGTCAGAGCAGTGAAAGGCAGGTGGTGAGTCACAGGCCCTCCTGTTCACACATCCATTCCGTCTCACCTCCGTCTCAGGAACAGCAAGAAATGGTGCAGCAGGAGCGAAAGCAGCAGCAGGAGCTACGCTTGGCCTTGAAGCAGGAGCGGCGGGCTCTGGCACAGCAGGGCCATCGGCCATACTTTCTGAAGAAATGTAAGTCGGCAGGCTTGTGGCTGGGTATTGCACTGTGATCCATGAACTCCTTTGAGGAAGGACCTATGGAAACTTCTAGGAAAGTAGAAAGAGTAGGAAGTGTTTCTTGTGACCATTCTACTTAGGGTTATGTCTGTGGGGAGCTTGGGTGTAGCTTACTTGGTAGAGTGCTTGCCTAGCATGCATGAAGCCCTAGGTTCGATCCCTAGCACCACCTAAAACAAGAATAGTGGCATATGCTTGCAGTCTCAGCACTTGGGAAGTGAAGGTCGGAGGGTGGGAAGGTAAAAGCTTGTCCTCAAAAGCTTGTCCTGAAATTGATCAGGACTAGAGTTCCTGTGCCAAAAAAAAAAGAGAATCAGTGATTGTCAGGTTTATTTCCATGTCCTCGCATCTCCACTTACACGCTCATCAGGGCACACAGGAGCTCACACTTGGCTCAGGTGAGGAAGACTTAAGTCATAAAAAGGTAGCTTACAGGCCAGGAAGGATAGGGCTCATTTTTAATCCCAGTTCCTGGAAGCAGTGGCACTCAGATCTCTGAAGAGTTCAAGGCCAGCCTGGTCTTGAACTCTGCAAGCTGCAAAGTAAGACCTTGTCTTCAGAAAAAAAAGGGTGGGGGGAGGTAGCTTAGGCAGGAGTATGTGATAGCTCCGTGGTAACACCCTGGCCTAGAGTGAGCAAAGTCCTGGATTCAATTTCTAGCACTAGGAAAAAGAAAAAGGTGGCTTACTGGGCTGGGGCTGGAGCTCGCTGTGGAGCCCTTGTGTGGCACCCATGAAGCTACTTGGTCACCGGCGGCAGCATACACAGCACAGTTGGTGTGGCGTCCTCACACCAGTGAGCTGCTAACGGCACGGCTCAGCGGGTGCCTGATGTCAGGTCAAGAGTTAAGGTCTAGAGGGATGGCTCAGAGGGTAAGAGCACTGCCTCTCTCCCAAAGGTCCTGAGTTCAGTTCCCAGCAACCACACGTCTATAGTGAGATCTGGTGCCCTCTTCTGGGATGCCAGCAGAACATAAAATAAATAAGTCTTTAAAAAAAGAAGAAATGAAGTCTTCATACTTTGCTCACCAGCTGCTTTCTTCCTCTCTAGCTGAGCAGCACCAGCTGGCCCTAGCTGAGAAGTTCAAGGAGCTGAAACGCAGCAAGAAGCTGGAGAGTTTCTTGAGTCGAAAGAGGCGCCGAAATGCAGGCAAGGACAGGAGGCAGCTCCCTCTGAGCAAGGAGTAGTAAGGAACTGTCCCAGGAGACCTGCGTCTGTGGGACAGATCTATCGGGGGTTGGCCAGCTCCGGTTCTTTCCTGCTCAGAGGCATCACAGCTACCCCTGGGGGTAGGCTGCTCAGAAGACACGTGTACCTCTTGGACTGCGCCAGGGCTGCACAGCAACAGCAGCTCAGCCCCATTGAGTCACATGGCCCTTCTTGGATCTGGTCCTTGAACAGCTGGTGCACCATCTTCTTCCATCCTCACCCTGAGCCAGCCATTCAGATGACAAGGGGACATGAGTATCTTCGTGGTTCCAGTGCAGGGACTTTACCTAAGAGCCACTTGGTAAACAGGTCCTCAGGACATTTTGTAGAAAAGTCTCTATGGTTGTATGTGTATCTTGGTTGGGTTTTTTACTGCTTTATAAAACACCACAACCAAAAGCAATTTGGAAGAAAGTGTTTATTTCATCTTACAGCTTGTAGTCCATCATGAAGGAAGGTCAGGAGAAGGACTCAGGGCAGGAACTGAAACAGAGGCCTGTAGGAACTCTGCTTACTGCCTTGCTCTCCTTGGCTTGTTCAGTCTGCTTTCTCTGTCTCTCTCTTTCTCTTTTAGGACAAGGTTTCTCTCTGTAGTCATGGCTGTCCTGGCCTCACTTAGTACACCGGGCTGGCTCAAACTCAGATCTTCCTGCCTCTGCCTCCTGAGTGCTGGGAGTAAGGCCTGCCCACCATACCCAGCCTTCTACACCACCCAGTGAGTTGGGCCCTCCTACAGCAATCAAGATAATGCCCACAATTTGACCTAAAGGTCAATGAAATGGAAGAAAATGGCAGCTTCTCAGTTAAGATTTCTTCCCTGCCAGGTCTGGTGCCTCATGCCTTTAATCCTAGCACTCTGGGAGGCAAAGACAGGTGGATTGCTGTGAGTTCAAGACCAGCCCAGTCTACAAAGAGAGTCCAGAACAGCCAAGGCTCCACAGAGAAACCCTGCCTCGAAGAAAACAACAAAACAAAAAGATTTCTTCCCAGATGACCCTACCTGTGTCAAATCCACATAAAAACTAGCCAGTACAATGTTTGTTTATCCTAAGGCCCAGAATAGATTGTTTTTCTCCACTTGAGATTCTTAGCTAAGAATGGTTTTTTATTTTCTTAACTACGAATGAGCTAAACGTTTTATTTTTTAAATTTTAAAATTATTTTATGGGTGTGGGTGTTTTGCCCACGTTGACGCATGTGTACCCAGAATCTCACAAAGGCCAGAGAAGCGCATCAGGTCCCCTGCAGTTAGTTGTGGGTGATTGTGAGCTGCCTTATGGGTCTTGGGAATCAAATCTGGATCTTCTGGAAGAGCAGATAGTGTTCCTAATGTTAAGCCATTTTTCCAGTCCCTGTTTTTGTTTCTTTCTGTGTGTGTGTATGTGGCAGGGGAGGGCAGTATCGCTGAGAACCTTACAAGTCAAGGCCTTGAAGGCGTGGGGACAATGAATCATAGCTCTAAGTATGGCCTCATCTTAGCAGGAGGTGCCCTGAGTTACCATCAGAGGTGAAGCACCTGTCTGCCCTCCAGGAATGGGTGATCCAGGGGAAGAGGCCCCAGCCCGGTGCTGCCCAGGAGGGTGGACTGTCCTGCAGTCAGCTGGTGTTCTGGGTACAGCTTACATGATTAGGAGGGCCAGCAGTTCAGGGGGAGTCAAAGTCACAGAAGGATTTTAAGACCAAGCAGGCAGGTAGGGGTGTGTGTCTTCAACATGGAATGAACCTGAGACACAGCTCAGAGGGAGAGTCCTTCCTAGCAGGGGTTTATTACCAGCTGCTAGATGGAGACTGCCCACTGTAGGTGAGCAGTGAGTGGCGGTGCTGGCGCCCCTGGCCTGACTACTTGGGATGCAAGAGCTCCTGGCAGCACTCGCATGCAGGCTTGCACCGGAGCCCAGAGGGACGAAGCTCTGGCACCTTGCCACTAGCTAAAGTGCATACTGTGGGCATATGACATAGTCCTATAATCCCAGCACGTGGGAAGATGAAATGAGTCTGAGGTCTGCCAGCATACTTAAGTTCTAGGACAGCCTGGACTAACATTTCAAGGTTGTGTACAACAAACCCAAAAAGTATGACTAGGGCCAATAAAAAGCCACAGTCTCTGCTGTGAAGGAGGAAAGCTCCCTGGTGATCAAAATAGCAACCCACAAGCACCCTCAGCCCACTAATGTTCTGGCTTGTCTGAGTCCTGGCCTTTCTGGCCAATCATGGGCTTTAAGACCAAAGGTACCATGGGATTGCTACAGCCAGCGAAGCAAGACGGCCAGTCCTCTAGAGCTCTGCCTCCACCTCTTCTTGCTGCTTCATTCAAATACCCTCACTCTCCCAAACCCTGGCCTCCTTTGCTTTCCTCTATCCCAGATCTATTCTAGGTGGTATCCAGTCCCTTCTATTTGACCTTTGTGCCCTCCTTTAACACCTGACACTTCTTCCCCTCTTCCCCATTCTGTTGCTATTTTCCCTGTCACTGCTGAGCTTCCTTCTATACCTCTGTCCCTGGCACTGGGCTTTCTAGGATGTTCTACCTTGGCTCAATGTGGTTGGGACCAGGGCAGCCAATCCTGCCAGCACAGCCTCACCCAAGCAGGAGGCTTGCCTAGGGGCTAGCTGGAGGCAGGAACCCAAGGACAGCTTGTGCAGCTGTGCTTGACTAGTGGGAGGATGAGGAGTGGGGCAGCAATGTGGAACAGCTTGTAATAGGCAGAAAGAAGCTATTGTTCCTTCTAGGGCTGTTTCCAACCCAGGTCCTAAGCAGTAAGTGATTGGTCAGGTGTTTGGGTGCTGGCTTCCCTTTACTTAGGGAAGGTATCACAGTTCACACTGGAGTGCTAGCTAAAACAGACACTGGCTGTTTGGTGGGGCCCTCCCTGTCTTAAAATGCTTCCACCTCTTGTCAAAGTCCCTTAGTCACTCCTGACCAGTTCTACAGATGAGGAAGATGAAGCCCTATTTGATAACCTGCCCAGATTACAAAGAATGTGGTCAGGTGGGCTTGAGTGTCCAGCCTGCCAGGTCAAATCCTAGCCACACCCTCTGAGGGGGGCCTGAGATCTATCTTGGCTGCTGAATCCCCCTGCCTGGACACACCTGATACTGCCTTTGCTCTCCAGTCCACTTTCCTCAACCTTGACCAGACTCCTCATGTGTCAGGAGACTGCCGAGATGCCAGGATTCTTTCCCCATCAATTAGGGAAAGACACACACACACACAACTGTCACCTGTCTCTAACATCACTCACAGCTCATGTCATCAAATTCACGTTTTATTTTCCGTAGAAAGCCCCAGCCTCATCTACCCCAACCCAGGGCTACCGGAAAGTGGAGAAGGTCTGGGTGCCAGTGCAGGAAGCATAAGGAACCCCCCGGGAGCGAATCTGTAGGGTATGGAAGGTGAGGGGTGGGTTGGGACCTGACGAGCCAGGGTTCAGGGACTCTGTGTGGGGCTCCATCACGGTGATAGGGACTGCATAGATCAGCACCTGTGGCCGGTCCTCATGGCGCCTCAGTGTGCCCTTGACCAGGAGGTGCAGGACGCAGGAGAGGACGTCAGCGCTGCTGCACGCAGCTCCCCTGCCAAGGCTGCTGACTAGACCCCTGGGAGGACAGGGGCCTTTCTGCCAAGCCTCCAGCACCTGATAGCAAGATCAGACGGGAAACAACAGGTCAAAACCACTGTGCTTACCGCTGTCCGCCTTCCGTGCCCGCCACACACTGGAGGTCCCAACACAGCAAGCGCAGCCCAGCCTCATCCACCACACACTGAGAGGCCGCAGGGAGTCAGGCGCTTCAGGGATGGGCCCAGCACCTCCTCCGGGCAGCACCCCAGTGGCCACAGGCACCACGGCCTACCAGATAGACGAGCCGGTCAACGTGCAAGCCCTCATCCCCGTGAGCCTTAAGGATTCGGACAACGAGGCAGTTTAGAAGGTTCCTTCTCTTCTCCAACTCCCGCTCCTCTTCATCCTCAGTTTTCAGGTACGTCTGAGGTGGGATGAGCCACACTGTGCCCCTCCTTGGTCTGGGTTCCTCGCTGTCATCCCGAATCTTGAGTACCCCTGAAAGAAACATTGCCCACTTGGCTGCGGAGGGCCCGGAGAAGCTGCCCCTGGCTCAGAGCAGGACTCTTTGGCTCTGAGTACATACCTCCCGGTATATCCTTCTGCTCCTGGAGGTCCAAGGGGCCTCTTGAGGAGGTGAGAGGCCCAATTGCCCGATTAAGCACTTCTGGAGGGAGCTCAGAGAGAGCCTGCAGCCTCTCAACAGACACCACCTTAGGAGAGGTATGAAGGATTCAGGTCCTCCCCAGGGGTGACCCGGGAGGACACATGCAAGAGAATGGAAGGGGGGGGGGCAGAGTGAGTACAAAAGCACAGGCAGAGAGATAGGCCACCTTTAAGTCGTTGAAGTACAGCAGTAGCCACATCTGTACTGTGGACACATGCAGAAGCTGGTCACCGAACTGCACTTCCGCCCGGCCCTCCCACGTCCACTGCAGTCGTCTCTGTGGATCATTCTCTAAGCTGAGGTGGCTCCGACCTGGAGAAGTGCCAAGGGAGGGGAGGGGAGAAAGGCCACGGAGAAGGAAAGAAGGGGACACACACACCAACTTCGCCTTGCTGGTCTCTGCAGTGTGCAGCCCCGGGCAGGACTTCTGGGCATGGTGGCACCTAGTCTGAGCTTCCCTAAAAAGCCTTGGCTATCAAGGAGCCAGCCTGTGGCAAGGAGGCTGCAGCCATGCCCTTTGAGTTATGCCCCTTTGGTTTTAGAGGCTTGCCTTCCTGCCTGACTGGGGCTCTGATCTTCACCTGCTGCCATTGCCTGGTCTAGAGTCTGACGTCAGCAAAGACTGAGAATATTCAGGAAGGAATCATACACCCACTCTTCTGTTCTGTTTTTTGTTGTTGTTGTTTTGTTTTTCCACAAGGGTCTCTCTATGTGGTTCAGGCTGGCCTAGAATTCATTCTGCAGACGAGGCTGGACTCAAACTCTTGAAGATCCAGTTGCCTCTGCCTCCAGAGCCCTGGGATTAATGGTGTACTCCACCATGCCTGGCCACACATCACTCCTAAGCTCTTTCTAGGAGACACCTGCCTCCATCTGCCCAATTCCCACAGAGATTTCTGGGCTCTGGATTCCAGCAGCAACCCCACTTCCAGCTAAAACTTTAAGCTCCTCCATTTTTCCTCAGAGCCATCCTGTCCCACTAAAGGAATCTTACATCCTGGATCCTGTACCCTTGCACAAGGGCTTGTTGAGATGCCATCCAGGCTTCTAACTGTAGCACCCGCCTCCGCTCAGGTCCCTTTCCCAGCAGTCTGCCCTGTCCCCACGCCCAAGCCCTCTTCCCAGTTGCTTACTCTTGCTGAAGAAGTCGGTGTAGTGGTTTAAGGCCCTCCTCAGGTGCGGGGGCAGGCAGGTTGCAGGATTGAGCATGTGGCGGACGGAGGCAACAGGCCAGTAACGTGGGAACAGGACAAGCACACACACTTCTGGCATTGGCCCTTCATAATAGTGCTCTTCCTCCTCCTCTTCTACCACAGCCATAGCTTCTGGCTCTCCAGCGGCATCTTCCTTCTTGCTCTGGGGCTGCTGTCCACTGTCTTCATGGGCCACCTGAAAGGGAACAGAGTTCACAGACGCCAACGGCCTCTCCCTTTCTGCTCCCTGTTCATTCCTGCTCTGGAGCCTACCTGTATCTTCTTTTCCGTGTCCTCCAGCTTCAGGAGCTCCCGATCGAGCTGCTGCAGCTGGTAAACATGGAACTGACGCTGCAGCTCCTCTGAGACGTTCAGGCTCTGCAGCATCTGCTGGGGGAAGCGGCTGGGGAAGCAGAGGCCGATCTGCTCTAGCACGGCCCCCTCCAGCCAGCTGGAGCCCACGCTCAGGAGACGGTCAGACATGTAGTGCCTGCAGCAAATACAGCCGGGCCAGGTCTCAGTGGAGGCCAGCAGGACCCGGGTTCTTACTCTGGTCTGCCTCTCTGTCAGATTCAGGCCCTACGAGCTGGCCCTCCCCTGAAACAGCCAGCCTGCCTTCCCTGCGTCCTCCTCAACAGATCTGAACTCACTGGTAGTAATGCTCAAAGGTGGTGGCTATCTCCAGGGTGGAGAAAATCGAGACAGACTCCAGGCATCGCTGCAAATGTGCCAGCATCTCCATTCCCCGGGCTCCACCCATCCTGCTGCCTTGGATCCGCTGGTCAATGTGCCGAGCAAACTGCTCACACACCTGAGTGGAGAGAGCAGAGGAAAAGCATGAGTGAGCCAGTGAATGGAAAAGTGAGAAGGGCTGAGAAAGCGGACATGCATGACCATTATCACCCTCTGCAGGAGGTACCGGGGACGGGGTCAGTCAAGACTAATGAGCACACACAGCACCACCGGGCTACAGCCTCAGCCTGACAGTGCTTCTTCCCAGCACTGGGGAAGAAGCATAGGCAGGTAGACCTCTGAGTTCAAGGCCAAGAGGCCAATCAGAGAGACGTGCTGAGACTCTCTATGGCTCTATCCTAACATGGTGCATGGTGGTCTTCCCTGGTTCTCCGTAAATGCTCACATACAACAGACCCGCTCATTGCAGGAGAGACTGAGGTGGCCCTCCCTGGGGAGGCGGAAGAGGACCAGGTGAGATACGGGAAGCAGCTCACATGGACAGTTCTGAGGAAAGGGAGCTTCAGCAGGGCACCAGCGCAGCCGTTCTGCATCGCCAGCAGGAAGGGTGCTCGTGGCCCAAACAGCTCAGAGCTTGACTTCTGCAGGTCGTGAAAGCGCTCGCAGTAGAGGGGCACAAAGTCGTCAGCCTTCCAGGATGAGGTCAGAAAGTTGTTCATCTGGAAGGAAGGGGCAGGGGCCTGAAGAGGCAGCCGATACGGGCCGTCACAGTGCCGCAGGCCCCGACTCCGCACTTGCTGCCTCTTACCTGCTCCTCCACCACAGACCTCCAGCAACGTGTCAGGTTTTTCATGATGTTGTTTGGAAGGCCCCGGGTGGCCAAGGAGCCCCAGTCATGGCTCCTATTTCTGCCTTCTGTGGAGAAAGAAAAGAGGCAGAGGCAAGGACAGACAGCCCCTCAACTCCCCCAGGGCAAGCCCTGAAGGCCTTTCCCAAAATGCTGTCCCTCAAAGTGCTGCTGCTGGCTGGGGTGGCAAACAAGACGGATAGTCTGAGCATGTAGGCCTGAGGCGGGGCCGGGATTTGGGAGCTCACAAGTGGGGGCCGCGTTCCTGCCGGAATATCCCTGTACTCACTGAGTTGGGAGATGGCTGCCTCAGAGGGCTCCACATGGACCAGCAGGTGGGTGAGGCGGCGGACCCGAGAGGAGAAAGCCGCAGCTCGGCTCTGGGGATTGTGGGCCGCGTCCCTGCACTCCAGGAACTGATCCAGCAGCCAGCCCAGGGGGCTGGTGCTGTCCTCATCTGGAGGTTGAGGAAAAAGAAACCCAAGGGATCGGTTGTCTCCCGGGAAGCAGAGATGTTGAGCTAAACGAGGGACAGAGAAAACAACCAGACAGAACGACACAGAAGAGGTGCGGCCCTGCCTGGAAACAGGGGACGAGGGTGTCCTAGTACACAAGTCCCGAAAGGCAAAGAGCAGAACCCAGGCGCATCCAGTTCAGGGGAGGGCTGAGGAGCTGGGTGGGGGACGGGCATGGCGGTTACCAGGAGAGGTGATGTTCTGCACCAGCGGGCTGACCAGCGCCTCCCAGCAGGTCTTGCCCAGTGCTTGGGCGGCCTCGGCATCGGGGAGGAAGCGGTCAGCAAAATTCAGCTCCTGGCGCAGAGCCCCATTTAGCCTGGGGAGGAGAAAGAAGAGACTCAGGCCCTAAAGGCTTAGGTTATTCAGCATGCATCAAGCACCCAGCCCAGCACCCAAAGAAGTATTTCAGAAGAGCCCTGGACTGCTAACAGGATAACCCACTCCCAGCGTTCAGAGACATCTATCATCTGTTCTTCCCATCATCCCAAAGGCTTTGCCCTTCCCTGGGCCCTATAACAGATCTGTCTCCTGGCCCCCTAAGCATCCCACCCAACAATTCATTCACTGCTCCTCCATGCAGGCACACAGGCAAGCTCTCAATACCTGGAACTCAGGTGCAGGAGGCTCCGGCGATCTTCCCCTATGTCCTGGCTCCAAGCTTGCGACCGAACCATGTAGAAGAGGCGTGTGTGCCGGCACAGCAGCTCTCGGAACACTGGCCAGAAGGTGGGCTTGGGGCCCAGGACCTCCAGTCCCCGGATGCGCGTGTCAATGCCCCCCTGTTATACACGAGACCTGTTTTTTGCTGGCCGCACACCTTCCTCAGCATAGGCTGGGGTTGGTTACGCTTCAAGCTTTAACTGGTTGAACTACTCCAGACCCAGGCTCTAGACAGACAAAGGGCAACAAGCTGAGCGCTGGTGTGGGGTAGTTTGGTGCAGGACATCTGGGTTTCATCCTCCTGCTGGGGGCTCAGAGACCCACACCAGGAGCCACAGCCCACCTGCTGACAGCGCTTTATGTGAATCTGGATGACGGGCCAGAAGCGGGTCAGGTTCTCCAGCAGGATCACTCGGCTGTCGTATGGCGTCACGTTCACCTAGTGAGGAGCAGAGAGAGCTGTCACCTCCACAGGTACAGACGGAACAGCTAGTTAACAGCCGCATCAGCCCCAGCCTACTTGCCGACCCTTCCTTCCTCCACCCCAGGGACACACAGGGCTCCTGACCACAGGGCTCTGGTGCCACTCCCACTGCTCCATGCCTAACGCCATCACAGAGGATAACAGACCAGTTTGTGTGGGGCTCACGATGGGTAAGCGTTAGGAGTTGGACGGGAAGAGAGATCCGGGCAAAGGGTGGGCTGACGGCACAGGGGTTCCTACCGAGTTGAGTTCTGTATTGACGGAGTTGACGCTGTCACCCCCGCATACCACCACCAAGGCCGGCATGTAGCTTGAGTCCTCCCTAGCCACCAGTAGAATTAGCTGCCTGGGAGCAGGGAAGAAAAGCCAGTGGGAACCGGAACCTGTCATGTCCGCGCTCAAGGACCCGCACGACTCTGGCAGGACAAACGTAGGGCCGAGTATGCGTGTGGGAGCTCAGTACCTGATGAGGACGTCCTGGTGCATGTGCAAGGTGATGGTGTGGGAGCCAGCGCTGCCACTGGACTCCCAGTAGGTTCTGGGGTTGCGGTCCGTCAGCCTGCAGGCCTGGTGTGGGTTGGAGGACACCTCCACTCTCTCACAGTACCTGTTTTTCTTCATTTCCGCACTGGAGCCTGGGGAAAGTGGGATGAGGTGCAGGTCACAGCTAAGCAGGTATAGAGGGGAAAATGGGTGAACTGACTAGTTCAGGGACAGACACTAACCTTGGCACAGGTATCTGAGGAACACGTCAAAGAAAGGGATTTGGATGGGCCGGCGGGTTCGTCTGTGGTCTTCAATCTGGCCCAGGGCCATCTGGAGCGGGAACATCAGAGAAAGGTGGGTACACGGAGGGGCACCAGGCTTGTGCAGACACGGACGGAGGAAAGGTTAAACATTTAAGGGAACAAACGCCCCCAGGCTCACTCAAGCCAGCTAGCTATTGCGGACTTCGGGACCGCATCCCCTTCCCCTGCCACTGCTCAGGATCCATGTTCTGACGCAGCTCAGAACCTCGACTTCACCCTGCCCTTCCTCCTGACCTGGATGCAGCCGCCCAGGATGTTGGTGAGGAGCTTCCGGTAGAGGTGCGCGTGCTTCTCACACTTGAACACCATATCCCGCAGCTCCTGAGCCAACTCCAGTTTCCCTAGGTGCTTTTCCAGGGCCTTGGAGATGGCGTCTCGGGCTCCCAGCTGGTTTAGTATCACTGCGTAGTCCCGGCTTGCGGAGGTCAAGCGGTGCAGGAAAAAGATAAGTTCCTGGAGCACCTGTGGGCAGGGGGATGTCAAGGGGCCGGTGAGGAAGGGGGAATGCACGGGCTACATGGAGAGCTGCGGTGATGATACAGGCCCACTCTGTGCTGGGAGCTAGGCAGGACGGTGTGTGGAAGAAAGTGACAGGGTGGGAGAGACAGAAAACCCAGGTGGAGTTAGAGAATCAAATAAACAACCCGGTGGGAAGAGCCTTCTTGCCCTTTTGGGGTTCTTGGCCACTGAGTATGTGGGCAACAGTTACAGAGAACCCTGGGCTCTTTGGTTCAGATGTGGCTGCTAAGAACCAGTGGTGGGCTGTCAATCCAGCCCAGGCACTGAAGAGGGCCGGAAGGGAATGGAGAGAGCCTGGATTTGTCTGTGGACCCTCAGTGAGTCTAGCTAGGAAACTGAAGGCATTAACTTGGGGTAAGTAACACCCAGGTTGTGTTACCCTTGGGGTGCATAGGGAGGCCCGGGACAGATGTGTCAACACAGGTCACCAGGAGGAGTGCGGCAGGGGACCCTGAGACAACAGAAACCGGGTGGGAGGCAGAATTCTCAATGAACGCCTTGGGAATTCATCGGAGAGACAGGTAGCCTATTTGGCAAGAACCAGGGCAGCAAGACACACTGCCTTAAAAAAGGGGGTGGGGGTGGTGCTGGAGACACGGGGGTCGATGCTAACACTGTGACCTTTGACCGTTCTTTGACCCTTCTGAGGACTGCTGTGCCCAGGAAATTCTGTTCCCGCTCACTCCCCTTCCTCTTTAATTTTTTTTTTAATTCATTTTCACTGTGTGTGTGTGAGTGTTTGTCTGCATGTATGCATTACGCCGTATGCATGGGGTACCCATGGAGGCTAGAAGGTGTTGTCGGATCCCCTGGAACTAGACTGACAGGTGGTCGTGGATTGCCTTGTGGTGTGCTAAGAACTGAACCTGGGTCTTCTGAAAGAGCAGTGAGAGATGGCTCCAGCCTCTTCTCCTTCCTCTTACAGGCCTGGCTAAGAAGTAGCTCTTTTTAGCCAACTCCTCTGGAGCTCTCGTTTCTACTTTCACAAAGAGGCCCAGGATGGCTATGTAAATTAACACGGGTGGGTTTACCAGCAAGGAGTGCGGCAGGGGACACTTGAGACAACAGAAACCGGGTGGGAGGCAGAAATCTCAACGAACGCCTTGTGTCATTTTTGATTTGTGAATTTTGGGAACGTATACTGTCTATTTAAAAAATAAAGTAAAATTTCTTTTCAAAAGCAAGAATACAAAGGCTCTATCAGCCTTGCCCAGGGGTCTGCCTCACTGGTATCCACCCCCTTCCAACACCTCCCCCGAGTGGGCCAGGGTTACCTCTCGGTCAGTGTCGGGGGACCGAAGGCAGACCATGCAGGCATCCATGCCCTCATGCCAGGGCAGGAACAGCGCCTCAGGGAAGTTCACCAGCTGCATCAAGATTCTAGAGGGAAGAGACAGGAATGGGAAGGCAGAGAGATACCAAGCCGGCCTGAGGCCTTCCTGTGCCCAAACCTACCCTGCACTGTACCCTCACCTCAGCACGGCCAGGTGCAGGGCCTTGTTGGTGGCTGGAGTGTCCAGACTTTGCATCAGTGCGAGGAAAGGCCGGGGCTGCCGCTGGAGCTGCAGCAGGCATGGTTTGACCTCATTTTCCTTGGGGGCCTCAGAGCTGAGGGCTCGCACCAGATCCACAAGGAGCTTCCCAAATGGGCCCAAGCCGTCCACCAGAGGCTGCAGAGCAGGGCTGGCACTCTGAGATGGGTGTTCTTTTGCTCCGGGAACAAAGGTGTGGTAGGTGTGTCAGGCAGCTCATGACCACCTGTAATCCCAACTCCCAAGGATCTCACACCCTTATTTAGCCTCCTAGGGTACCTGCACTCACACACACACACAAACCCACACCTACACATATGCATCTACTGAAAAATAAAATCTTATAGAAACAAAAACTGGTCATGGTGGTTCATGCTTGTAATCCCAGGACTGAACAGGTAGAGACAGCTAGCCTATTTGGCAAGAACCAGGATACCAAGAGACATTGCCTTTAAAAGGGGGGTGGTGCTGGAGACATGGGTCAAGAGTTAAGAACACTGGCTGCTCTCTGGGTTCAATTCCTAGCACCCACTTGGCAGCTTTCTTCTGCAACTTCAACACCCCCCCACCCCCCCCAGGAGATCCAATGCCTTCTTCTGGCCTCTGTGGACACTGCATGCACCCAGAACACAGACACACACAGGGACACACCCATATGCATGCAATAAAACTAATTTTTTTTTTTTTTTAATTTGGTTTGGTAGTTTTTGAGACAAGGTTTTTGTATAGCCCTGGCTGTCCTGGGATTCACTCTATAGACAGGCTAGCCTCAGACCTAGACGTCTACATGAGCCACCATGCATGGCTAAAATAAAATTGAATAAACGGTAGCCGAAGAATCACATCTGTAATTGTCCTCTGCCTTAAACACGCACGCGCACACACACACACACACACACACTAGGATTCTGGGTATCTCACACAAGGTGGCACAATGGCACCACAGTGGAGCTGCCCCTGAGAGGACACTTTCCCAAAGGCGGGTCTCTCAGCCGCCATCTGCAGGGCACTCACCATCAGATTCCTGAGGTGAGGCTTCGGCTCTGAACGGGAATATACCTTGTTGGGCACCTAGCAGATATGGGTAGCCTAGGTGCCCTGCCAGGCCTTTGGGCCCGTACTTCCTATAGACATAGCAGCTGAACAGGTCTCTCAGAGCACTGTCATCAAGCTGTGGAGGCAGAGACAGCAGCAGGTGCTGGGCCAAGTCAACAGGCATGGTCAGTTCAGGCAGGATCTCTTCATTCAGAACGTGCTGCGGGAAGACAGACAGCCTGCAGGCAACTGGATGAGCAGAGAGGAACGGGGTTCTCTCCACACACTCCCCATCCCAAACCTCTTAGAGCCGACAGTTGCGTCCCTGAACGTTCCAGACTCCCCCTCCTCCCCCATGGGCCTCCACTTCCCCTCCAAAGCTTTCCGAAGGTGACAGTCCAGACCTGCTGGGGACGCTCGTGAGGAGTGCCTACCTCCCTGCCCAGGCTGTCCTGCAGGAACTGCACAGCCTGCTGGCGGTCAGCTGCAGTCAGCTTCTTGATGAAGAAGAGGAGCTCCCACCACTCAGCCTGGGTCAGGTGCTCGCTCTCTTCAGAGTTCTCCTCCTCAGGAACCACAAAAGGCATGGCGAAGAGCTCGGTGATGGGCTTCCAGCGGCGGGCGGGCGGCGCTGTGAAAAATGGGGTGCATCACTGCCGGCCCAGGTGGACCACTGCTGCTCAGCTCGGAGCTGACCCCTCCCGGAGCTCACCTATACCAAAGGCTCCGCTGGCCACTGGCCCAGGGTACTCAGCAGCTTCAAACACCTCCTCAATGTCTTCCTCAAAGCCCAAGATCTCAACCATGTGCCAGTGTACCCAATATGTGCGGCCTGTTGACTCCCAGAACACCTGGAGAATGGGGTGGGGGAGGGGAGAAGAGGGCCTGCTATTGACCAGCCGAGGCCAACAGTTCGGGCTCACCGTGACCACCCCCAAACAGCCAAACATTCATATATAGAATATCAGCAGCCTCCTCTTCCTCTTTTGCACTGGACTCTACTTCCGTTCTCCTTTTACCCTGATTTTCTCCTTTATTTCTGGTTTTATTTCCTCTCAGATGGAGTCTCACGTAGCCCAGACTGGCTTCAACGTTGCTATGTAGCCAAGGCTGGCCCTGAACTCTTGATCATCCTGCCTCTCTCTCCCTCCCAAGGACTGGGATTACACACTTGTGCTGGGATTACAAACTTGTACCATGCAATTCTGATCTATCAGTTTCTTCTTGGGCTTCCTATGAGGCCTCCAAATAGCCCTTTCAACTGTTGATACCTTTGCCCTTTTGATATTAATTGATACATACATATATATATGTATTTTTTTTTTACATTTATATACATGTATTCCCGTACAGAAGGCTCAGGTATGCATGCCCTACCCGGAATAAATCTTTCACAGAGTCCCACCTACCGAGCAACGCTCACCTGCACGGGGGGCACGCCATTGTTGCCCTGTCGGAACACACCCTCATCCCCGGCAGTGATTTCTTCGTAATTTTCCAGCATCCGTACCCGCATCCCTGGCTGCAGCTTGTCTCGCACATACAAGGCATAGGTATTATCACTTGCAAACTCGGCGCGGGGGCGAAACCGCTTTGACCTCCTCCGGATGTGCTGGCCGAGGGGCTGGGAGAACTCATCTGCCGGCTGAGGCTGGAAAATGGAAGAGGAGGACCGCGCCAACCTCCCCAGCCTGCTCGAGTCCCAGTCCCAGCGCATGGCCTGCACCAGCTCGGAGATCAGCGTGCCCATGGCCATACTGAATTCCAGTTCCAGCCGGCCCCTCCCTGCATTCAGCTCCTCGGGAACAAAACTGTTCTGGGCGGCTTGTTCCTGGGTACTGTCGTTCAGCTGATCCAGGAGGAAGGTGACCTGCAGGTAGCATTTCACCAGGGAGAAGAGCAGCCGTCCTGGGACCTGTAGGACACACCTTTGGTCTCCAGCATCCTGTCTCACCTTTTGTCTCTCCTTCCACAGCATCCTCTGTGGCAAGTCCACAGTTCCCATTATCCCATAGCCTCACAAGATACCTGTGGCAGCTGAATGCCCTCAAAAGACATTGGGTGCTCTGGGAGAGTAGCCTGTGCGAAGAGGGCTAACAGGGCGCAGCGGCTGTCAAAGTCCAGGTGTTTTTCAATAGCCTCTTGTTGGCTCAGTGACAGAAGGATCTGGGTCCGGGTCCCTGGAAGCCATACCTCCAATCAGAATCAGCTCCCTAAGCTCACTCTTTCAGGCATCTCTCCTAGTCTTCTACTTAATAACAATCCTTCGCCAGCACTCATCCGGGATGACATATTTTGTTGATTTGCTTCAGAGCCAAAGTTTACTATCACACACACTCTCACACACACACACACTCTCTCTCTCTCTGCAACAGTCTAAGCCCTTCTGCATCAAAAGCTAATGAATTAATGCATTCCTGCTTTATTCAGTCTTCTTCCCTCCTCCCCCACAAACATTCCCACCCCCGACCCACACCCACCTTTGCCCTTCCACCTTAAAGCGAATGACAACGGAACCCTTACTTACTGATGAGGTCGGAAGGTCCTGCAACAGCATCCTGTGACTCCCTGAGCCGACCCAGACCCTCTCCTGCTCTCCCTTCTTCCCCAGACTGCCCCTCACCAGCGTCCTGGGAGGAGAGAGCCTGGATCATCCGGCCTGCACTCCATCGAATCTGATAATCAGGACTACTCAACATATGCATGAGCAAGTCCAGGACCCTGGGGTCTTTGAAGACTCCGATGAGGGGTTCGATGCTGGCATACGCACTGAGGACGTGGACAGTGTGCAGGAGGGCCGCAGGAGGGTCGGTGTCCACGCACTCCTTCAGCTGCCGAAGGGCCCTCTGAATCAAGGACTTCACGTCTGTTTCCATCTCCCCCAGCACAGATTTGTCGAGGGCGCCGGCCTCTGCAGACTCCTGGGAAGGCCTGATGACTTGGCCATCCTCCCCCAGCATCTTGTGGCAGTTGGCATAGATCTCATCGTCAGACATCCATAGCAGGATATGCTCGGCCTTGCAGTCCACTTGGCTAGGGTCCCCTTCCCCATCATCTCCGCGCCTGAGGATGAGCCAGCGGATCTGATACTCAGGGTGCCCATCATGGCCTACCCGCTGTCGGATCAGTTCATCCGGATACGCATGCAAGCCAGGCCCCAGGGGCACCCTGAATTCCCTGTAGCGTAGCTCCCCCACCATCCTGGCACCTGAGACACACAAGGAAAAGAGAAAAGGCAAGCTGAAGTGAGAGGGGAGGTCCGAAAATCAGGGCATCCAGGTGTTGGAGGAGCAAATGCAGCAACAGCTGATAGGCTGGGTGGGGTAAAGCTAGGCCTGCTTCCGGTTGAGTGAGACCAGGACTGGGCAGAACAGTGAGGAGTTTGTTCTTCAAGAACAGATTCTCGGAGCTAAAAGGTCTCCAGGGCTTGCAGCCTCAAGTGGGGTGGATTCGGAAAGACCGGAGGGGCGGAGACATAGGGCAGTGTTGGATTTACAAATGAAGCCCAAGATCCTGGGACAGATAAAGGTAATTTAGGGGAAACGGGTGTGTGAAGGCACAGGATTGTGTAGGAGAAGGGATGCAATCTCTAAATTGAAGCTCTGGTTTGTAAGGCCCAAAGGCACTGACGGTGAAATGGCCATCAGCAAAGCATGATGGGCTGGGAGAACGGGAAGGAATGGAGACATTCATGACCAGAGCAACTGAAGAGGGGCTGGGGAAAGCCGCGAGGCCAGGGGAAGGGTGCACCAGGGGGTCCTATGAATAACTGGCGCGAGGCTTGGTGGATGGAAACCAAGAACTGAGAGGGTGGGGAGCGGTGGGATAGGATTGGGGTAGGGTAGGCCCAATAAAGGAGAGTCCCGAAGCATGGTGGGGAAGAGGCTCCGCGGGCGATCGGAAGCCCAGAATAGGGGCAGGGGTCGCGGCGGGGCTCTGGCCACCTCAGATGTCCGCCGGGATCCTTGCGCGAGGCCTGTCCTTTGCAGAGCTAGGGACGCACGGCACACGATGGCGGCTGCGGCGCTGGCGAATGTTTGGGCCCCGCCCGGGCCCCCTGAAGGGGGTCGAGGTGCAGAGGAGGGGGCGTGCCTCTGCAGTAGACAGGCGGGCAGAGGGCGTGGCCTGTGGGGATTTCTCACCGCGCGCCGGCGCACTGCCGACTGCAGGGCGGAGCCTAGCCCCAGCTGGGGCCAGGGAAGCTCCCGGGCTCTCCCGCCTGCGCCCCGGCACCGCTCGTTTCCGCCAGACCTAGCGGAAACCCGGAGGCCCGGGGCCAGCGGCGGGCGGAGTCGCCGGTGCCACCTCGACGACGCGCTCCTTCAGCACCGCACCGCACCGCCCTTTCCTCTTCCTTTTAGTCCTCCTTCCTGCTGCCGGAAGTGCCTTCCCGTTTCCCAAAGCCAGAACTGGAAGACCTGGGAGGTCATTTCTACCCCCTCCCCTTCCTGACTCTTCCCTCTTATCCTTGTTTACTTCTCATCCAGTCTGTACCGTGCCCTCCCAAAGTGAAAAGATAAAAATGACAAGATAAAAATGAGGGGCATTTTATTAGAGTCCAGGGTTATCAGCTTTGGGCAGCAGCGGAGGGCAGCTTCACGTAACTCTTCATGGGGGGCAGTGGCCGAATTTTTCGGCCGGCCCAGCCTCCCTTGCGATGCCACAGCCCACTGTCTGGCCTCTTGCCCAGCCAGCGGTTCCGTCCTGCCTTGCCGATGATCCGCTGGTTATGATTGACGTTGGAAACTCGGCCTACAGTTGCAGTGCATGACTCCAGCACCTGACAAGGAAAACAGACAAGAATGCACCGTGGGGGCCAGAGCTGGCCTCTTACAGGCAACGAGGGAAGGGAGAAGACAAAACATGAAATAGTAGAATGTAAGTGTGGGCCCAACTAGATGAATTGAGTAGTTAAGGAAAATGATTTCCCCACATCTATCTTGTTTGTTTCTGTGGTTTTCTTTTGGAGTCAGGGTCTCAGTATGTAGTCCTGGCTGTTTTGGCACTTGCTATGTAGACCAGCCTGGCCTGGAATGCCTCAATATCCCCCTGCCTCTGCCTCTTGAGTGGTGAGATTAAAATCCAGTTCCAACCTGATGTTCATCCACATTTATCTTTTCCTGGTTTTCTGAAAAGGTCTCATGTAGCCAAGGTGGCTCAATTCTTCTGCTTCGGAGTCTGGAATGCTGGGAATGCAGGCATGTGCCACCATGCCAGGCTGGGAAAAGGCATTCTGACTTAATTCCATTAAGGTGCCAACCTGACGAGGCATGTTTAGTTGGGTGGCAAAGAACAGAACAGACACAGACACAGATGGAGGCAGTTCCTAGCTTCATCATCACTTGGAAGCTGGTGTGGTACATTCCAAAAATTCCTTTGTTAACCCCTCCCACTTGTGCCCACATATACCTGCATTTGCCTCTTGGAGGGCAGCTGGATAACGGCTGTTCCATTCACCTTTCGAAGCAGCACACCACATGTCCCTGGGGAAGGGGAAGGAGAAGCGGTTTTGCCACCTTCCACAAATGAGAGGGAGGTTTCCATGGGGATATCAGGCCACATGCTAACCCTTACTTTGCCCTTTAGGGGCATATGAGACACAGAAGACTACACACTGATTTAGATTAAAACAAAGCACACATTCATCCTGTTGTTCTTTGTTTTGTTTTTGTTTTTTTTTTCCTGTGAATGGAACAGATGTGGGCCTAAGGGTTCCCAGGATAGCGATAGCAGGTACTCCTTGGTCTTCCCAGGTGTTGGATGTCGGTAGTTTCTTTGCCCATACCTGCAGCTCGGATATACTGGGCTCCTCGGCCAGGCTGACTTTCTACATTGTTGATGAGGGTTCCCACGGGCAATGCCCCGAGAGGGTGTGCATCCCCTTCATGAGCAGCCACTATAAGACAGAATTTCATCAGCACCAGACCCTTTACAACTGCCATCCCATGCAACCGGCAGCCATCTCTCACCTGCCATTCTGCCTATACGGTTAGAGTTCAGGATTGTATCTCCGGCCTTCATGTTTTCTGTGGCAATGATCCAACGTTTCCGGCTGCCCCCAGCAACCAGAGCTATGTCTGCAGACCTGTTCAGGATGACAGACAAGGAAGAGGGCCATCAAGAAGGTCCACATGTTCTGAGAAGCTACAAAATAACAACTTAGACCACACCATCACCATATCCCATCCCAAACTTGCCTACAGGGATCATAGCGGACCACGATGACCTTCTCCTCAAAGGGTTCTGGCTCAGTTTCCTTCTCTGGCCGGAACCGTAGAAAGTCAATCATTCGATAATTCTGCTTGTGGCCCCCACCAATACCATGGACTCGGATGCGGCCTAGAGTCAGGACAGTTTAGGGATGCGATTCAGTATAGCAGTAACAGGCCTTGCCTAGACTGGACATAGCACTCCCTCAACATTATATCACGAACAGGGCCAGGGGTGCAGCTCAGGGGTAGTTTGCCTTGTGAGCACTAAGGTCCCAGGTTTGACCCACAGTGTGTGAGTGTGTGGAGGCCACAGCAATCTTGCATAAGCAGTGGGGTAACACGACTCAATAAAAATGAAGCATACAGTTTTCAAATTACTAGATTCAATACGTTTACTGAGTATAAATAGGACTCACGTAACTTCAGCTATTACTAATTTTGGGAAGGTTGAAAACACCATGGCACTTCTTGTGTTGACCCACTTACATTCCTGTGTGGTCTATTCTTCAGTTTCAGTAATGATCCACATAAAAGACACACCTCAAGGAATACTTTCTAATTGTATGTCTGACATCTTACTAGCTATAGTGTGCTACTGCAGACATCTAGGATCCTAATTCCCTTTCCTCCTTAATGCTTCAGGCCCTTTCTCCCACCTGTATGGTCTCGACCTCCAGACTTCCTCATCTTCACCGGTTTAACTGTGTACTTGGTACGACTCTTCCAGGACACAAGGTTGGCGTTGCAGTCCACAGACAAATGCAGTGGTCGGCGAAATGGCAACACCAAGGCAGAGGGCAGTTGAAAGAGGACATTGTTCAGTATCTAGGGATAAAAAAATATTCTTTCAGAGAGCCAAGGGAGCAAGCACAGACTTAGGCTTATAGGCCACCTCCTCCCAGGAGCTGGTCAGACTACGGTCCTCAAACTTCCAACCTTCACAAATACCAGTGGAGCGTGTTTACCCAGATGTGTGTTGGTCCTCTCACCCCTGAAATACTTCTCCAATGAGATGCTCTCCCTTTCATCATCTTCCCATTTGGTTCAAGTGCTTGTCAGGAAACCTTTCCTTCCCTAAAGAATTCACTTCTCCAGAGCTGGTAAATTTCCAACTCCACTATACCACCATCAGCACCGATGCCTTTTGCCCTCTGCCTGTTTCCAGGAATTTTCACATAAGAATGGAAACGATTACTTAAGCTTTTCCACCTGCTGTAGTCCCGGCGCTTCAGAGTAGTTTGGAATATGGAATATACATTTACAAAATTCTGCCATACCCAGCCTGAGACCCTCAGAGACGCAAGATCGATAATTTTCTGCGATTCAGCACCGTCCACTCTGTACCTTCTGTTAGTCCCAATATCAGCAACAACCCATCCTTACGTTAAAATGGTTAAGAGCACTGGTTCCGGGGTGGGGCGTGTGCTTCAGTGGTAGAAGGAGTGCCTAGCGTGAGCGAGACTCTAGGTTTAAATTTCCAGCACCAGAACAAAAACAAAACCAAGTTCTGAAGCCAGTCTGTCTAACCCCAAAAAGTGTATGATCTTAGACTGCTGACCAGTTTTCTCACCGGCAAAATGTGCATAACCTTCAGGAGCTAGCATTTATTTCAGTCTTCTATTTTGCCTGGTTTACGGCTGGCACATAAGTATTGCCACTACAGCCTGCTCAGCAGAGATCTACAAAAGCACGTACAAGCCCAGTATCTCCCCTGAGGAATCCAGCCCTCTAGGAGAGCAACCCAAGGTCATGTGATCGCGACTAGCCTCGCCGGCTCACAGACAGCCCAGGAGGAAACAGTTTATTTCCCAGGTAAACGGATTACCTGGGCAGCAGAGAGTGGAGTCGGAACCCGGGCGGTAATGGCCGGGGATGCCAGGCTCAGAGAGCGCAGAGCACTGGTCAGCGTACACAAGGCCATGGGGTGATGAGACTCCTCTGGGCTCAGCTCGCTTTTACTTTTATCCAGAGCCTGGAGCTCTCGGATGACGTTTCATTCTGTATGGCGTCGCCTTCCGATGACGTAAGAGGCGTTGACAGAACTGGAGCGCTGCGGACTACAGGTCCTCAGCCAATCATCGGCGGCTACTGTAGTCCCGTGACTGGAGGACAAGCCCCGCCCCTCAGAGCCGTCAAAACAATTGCCTCGAGCAGCAGCCATGATGAATTTAAAGGGGCAGTACCCACCAAGACGGCAGCCGGACCAATAGACTGCAGGTGAGTCTTTGGGAGTACCCCTGGGGTTGAGGATTAAGATTGCACCAATTCTTATTCCCACACTCCGGGACAGATGAATAAATCACTTTCGACCAACCTCACAAAACTCTGGACTGACTCAAAAACTCCGCCCCCCGCGATTCTTCCCCGCCTCTCGGCGTCCAGACAGACAGTAGGACAACCTGCCCCGCCCCCTTTGGGATCCCCTAACTCCGTGACCTCGAGCTTGCCCGCTGTCGGGTCTAGGTCGGCGACTCTGCCCTCACGCACACCTTCCTCCGCTCAGCCCCTGCCTGTCTTACTCTGTCCTCACCCTGTCCCCTCAGGGCAGGTTAGCAACCTTAGACGCTCCTGGATCGCAGACCCCCAGGCTAGGGTGCTTGGCGCTCAGCGCCTTTCTCTGTGTCCCGAAAGTGCTCAACAGATCTGCTACGCTTTCCTGAACCATCAAGCGCCCGAGAGGCACCTTTAAGATGCCTTTTAGGTGATTAAGTTAGACAAAGCCATGAAAGGAGGCTATTGCAGTAATCCAGTTGGGAATCCTAACCAGGTCTCCTTTCTCAGCCTTTCGCAGGCACACCCTTTGCTGCAGGTCTCAGATTAAATCAGTTCCTTCATTCCCTTATTGGGAGAATGCTAACGGCTTAGACCTGGAATGAAGAGAACCGAGTTGAGGGAGAATAAGGGACATTAGGATTAGTCTCTAAGAACCTGTAGGCAGGAGGAGGGAGGGTGTTTGTCCTGGGTGGGGCTGTGTGCCAGGTCCTCTGGGTGGCTGCGAAGCGGCGAGAGAGAAGGGGTGGGACTGCCGGACTTCTGGACTTTGGGCAGTGCGGAGCCCTCTGAATCCTTAGTTGCAGTCCAGAGTTTCTTCCGGGCTCTGGCCTGGGAGCTGCCTGAAGCCAAGGGCTCTGCTCTCTACACAGGTAAGGAGACTTCGCGGATGAGTTTTGAGGAAGTAGGAAGACGTCAAAATTCTGGGGGGTGGCACGTGAGGCCTGAAGGTTAGGTGGAAAGGAGTTTAGCAGGTTGGGAGTTACTGGCCTTAGCTCCTTTGCTGAAGCAGCCTGAAGACCTTCAACCTTCCAGAGCCTTGTCAGGAAGGCTTCTTCTGTTTCTCTCTCTTTTTATTTTCCTCTCTCTCTCCCCTAACATTGGGTCCCATCCCTTAATTGCTCACTGCTTTTTACACGGATTCTGTTTTCTTTCTTTTTTTTTGTTTTTGTTTTTGTTTTTGGTGTGTTGAGACAGGTTTCCTCTGTGTAGCCCTGGCTGTCCTGGAACTCACTCTGTAAACCAGGCTGTCCTCCAACTCAGAGATCTGCCTGCCTCTGCCTCCCGAGTGCTGGGATTAAAGGTGTGTGCCACCACTGCTTGGCAGATTCTGTTTTCCTTATTCCTGCTCCTTTTTCAGCTCTTCTGAATGCCCACTATAATCCTTATAATGCTTCCTTTTTCTAATCTATGTTCTCTCTCCAGTTGCCAAGTCCTAAACTGCTCTAGCTTTAAGCACACCTGTTTGTTCTCTAAATCTTTATTCAAGTTCATCCCTCTCCCTCACCTTAGTTTTGCGTTAGGTGCCATGGAATTCCGCCTCTTTACTCATTCTCTTTCATCAGCTCAGCCACAGGGTCCTCCATACTCTTTTCCCTTCACTTGGCTTGCTGCCGCTCTCTAGCTGTGTCTTTCATCTTTAGCGGCTGAACTCTGTGGTTTCTCTCCAGCCCAGGATGTCAGGCCTGGTGTTGGGGCAGCGGGATGAGCCTGCAGGGCACCGGCTCAGCCAAGAGGAGATCTTGGGCAGTACCAGGTTGGTGAGCCAAGGGCTGGAGGCCTTACACAGTGAGCACCAGGCTGTGCTGCAGAGCCTGTCCCACACCATTGAGTGTCTGCAACAGGGAGGCCATGAAGAAGGGCTGGTGCATGAGAAGGCCCGGCAGCTGCGGCGGTCTATGGAGAACATCGAACTGGGACTGAGTGAAGCCCAGGTGAGAGTCAGGGGTGATGCCAGTGTGCCAGAGTCCACAGAGGCTCAGTTACCTGATACAAGTTTGGGGTCACCTTGTCTTAGAAACTTGGATTTATTCATTCATTAAATATTAAGTGCCTACTGTATGCCAACTCCCCTGCATGCTGGAGCTCACAGAACACAACAGGACAATTCTTTGCCATTTGGAGCTGATATTGTAGCTGGGAGAGACAGATAGGACACAGGTAAATAAGTAAATGATTTACTGTGTCAGAGTGATAACCGCTAAGGACAGAACAAAGATAAAAGAAAGGAAAGAAATAGAAAGAGGATGCAGTTTTACATAAAGTAGTCATAAAAGCCTCAAAAGCTAACGTTTGAGTAAAGATTTGAGGTAAAGGGAGCAAGCGATGGGATAAACAGGATCCCAAGCCTTGCCTAGAGCCTGACTGGAGAACTTAGTGCTTAGCAGAGGCCTGTTGTGGCTTTGTGTAGAGCAAATGATGAGTGAGGCGACAAAGTAGAATGCTAAGGAGGAAGGATGCCATCGGAGATGGGGACAGACAGTGTGGAGCCCCTGGGCTGTTCTAGGGTGTTTGCTTCTCCACGGAGGGAAATGGGAGCTATTAGGATGTCTGAGGAGAGATGGAGAATGAGGGCACAAACTAGGGAGACCAGTGAGAGGCTGCCATTGTCTAGGTGGGAGCTGGTGGTTTGGCATCTGATGAAAACATTGGAGGTGGTGACAGCTGGCTAGAGTGTCATTTTTTTTAATTTAATTCACTTAGTTCATGTATCTAGATATTTTGTCTGCATGTATGACTATGACTATGTATGCCCGATACCCATAGAAGCCTGAAGAGGCCATTGGATCACGTGTGATTGGAGTTACAGGTGGTTGTGAGCCAACATGCTGGTGCTGGGCTCCTCTGGAAGAGCAACTAGTACTCTCCCAGTGTTTCTCAACATCTGGGTTGCAATCCCTTGGGGGGGATGTTCAAATGATCCTTTCACAGGGGTTACACATCAGATCTCCTGCATATCAGATATTTACGTTATGATTCATAACAGCAACATCATAGTTATGAGGTATCAATAAAATAATTTGGGGGGTCACCACAACATTAGAAACTGTATTAAAGGGTCACAGCATTAGGAAGGCTGAGAAGTACAGCTTCAGCCCCTCGGAGTCTCTTTTGATGGTAGAGCTGTTGCCACTCCTGCTTGGTGCTTCTTCTATGCCTGCCCCAGACAGACTAACCATCTCTCAGAAGGCCTTCTGTCCCCCGGATTCTCTTATCCAAAAGACTGGAGCTCATATGCTGTTCCTACCTAGGTGATGCTGGCTCTGGCCAGCCACCTGAGCACGGTGGAGTCTGAGAAGCAGAAGCTGCGGGCTCAAGTCCGGCGGCTCTGCCAGGAGAACCAGTGGCTCCGGGATGAGCTGGCAGGCACGCAGCAGCGCCTTCAGCACAGCGAGCAGGCCGTGGCTCAGCTGGAGGAAGAAAAGAAGCATCTGGAGTTCCTGAGGCAGCTGCGCCAGTACGACGAGGATGGGCACAGCATGGTGAGGACGGGCACAGCATGGTGAGCATGTGAGCAAGGGTTTGCTGGGACCACAGGCAGGGCAGCTGTCTTGCTACTCCACAGGAGATGCCTGTGAGACACACCTGACACATTCCCGCTTGGAAGAATTTTATTGTCAACCGTGATACCAACTCCAGATGAAGCATGGGGAAAACGACTTTGACTTGTTCGGTCAACTTAAATGAACGGTGTACTCTCCCGGAAAGTGGGGCGACCGTTCTTGTTCTCACGGTTAACAGTATGTGAGGCAGGACAAACAGTGGGGCAGCTCAAACCCAGAATCCTAAGGGCTGCAGTTAGGGGAAGCACAGCCCACATTAGCGGGAGACTCCCTGACAATTTTCTCTCAACGTGTGTGAACTCAGCCCCCACTGAGCCTTATGAGTGCAGAGAGGAGGAGACCCGTGGAAAAGTACCTGCTTTTCCAAGCTTATAGCATCTGTGCAGAGCTGGGCTCTTACGCAAGGACACAGCAGGCGCACAGTGCGCATGTGGCTCAGAGCAGAGGGACTTCCACATAGGGGCCCGGGGGCTGGGATGGTCAGCACAGTCCAGAGAGGAGGCAGGGTAGAGAACTGGGTAGTGGTCAGAGCAGTGTGTTCATTTGATTGGTTAGGAGTTGTGCTGGATTTTGAAGGATGATGTGGGGAAAGAAGCTCTTTCTGGCCTGGATGGGCTATCACAGTTAAGACCCGGCGTTAGAGTGTTATTCTAGCCAGGGACAGTGAAGAGCTAATTTGCCTGGAACACACTGATGAGGCTGATAGGAGGGTTTGATGTCTCTGAGTAAGGTTGCCATCCCTGAAGAAAAAAAGTGTATTTTCCAGTGAAAATATGTCAGATAGTAAGGGCTGTGCCCCAAGCCCACACTAAGCAAAGGGAGATGGTGAGCTGAGGTGGAGCTAGACACTTTGAGTACGTGTCAGTAAGAGCAGACATGCTCCTTCCCCTCAGGAGAGACAGGATAGACATATAATCAGGGTAAATGCACGGCATGGCTGTAATTACAAGAGGTGAGTGCGAGAGAGAGGGAATAAGGAGAATAAGGGTGTTAGAGAGAGAACTTTCTGGATGAGAGGTAAGAGTCATGAGGTTTTGTCTAAAACATCCCTGGTTTTACATCTAAAAAGGCCTGCGCATGGCTGGGTCAGATACTGGTCTTTTCCAGAGGCAGAGGCTTTTGGCCCCAATGGTAGGTGACTCTGTGGCTTAGAACTCCTGAAGAGGCCACTGGGGCTGGCATGCTGTCCCTTCTCTTCCAGGAGGAGAAGGAAGGAGATGCCACCAAGGATTCCCTGGATGACCTCTTCCCCAATGAGGAGGAGGAGGACTCCAGCAATGGCTGTGAGTCTGCCTGTGGGGATGGAGACTGATGAGGGCAGCAGGAAGCTGCTTTGGCTGATGGCCCACTCTCAATAGGATCTCCACATCCAGAGATACGTTCTCTACTTCCTTTTTGGAGCCTGGGCAGGTGTCTGGCCAGGGCTTGAGTTCCTCCCCTCCCCCGTACCCATCAGCATTTAATAAGTGTGCTGTGCACTAGGATTACCAAGATGAAAGTGATGCTGGTCCGACTAGTAAATTTCCAGCCTAGCAGAGAATAACCCTGGGCTGGAGCTGCGTGCATTCCTCGAGCTTTTTGTGCTCTTGCTTTGCTGGGCAGCCCTAGTATATGTTTATGGGGTGCATGTTAGTTGAGTGACTTACCGAGAGACTAAACGGGATTGCGGTGGACACAGGTTCAAGAGTGTGCTTAAAAGAACAGCGGTGGTGCCTGAGCAGCGTAGAGACAAAGGGTGGGCAGAGGAGCGGGCGGGCAGTAAAGGAAAAGAGTGAGTCCTCTGAGGAAATGCCCTGTCTTTTTTGGGATGAGGTAGTGTCCCGTGGTCAAGGTGCCGCGGCGGCACAGCAGGGTGGCTATGAGATCCCTGCGAGGCTGCGCACCCTGCACAACCTGGTCATCCAGTATGCAGCGCAGGGCCGCTATGAGGTGGCCGTGCCGCTCTGCAAGCAAGCGCTGGAGGACCTGGAGCGCACATCTGGCCGAGGGCACCCTGATGTGGCCACGATGCTCAACATCCTGGCTCTGGTGTACCGGTGAGCACCACTCTCCTCCATTGTCTGAAGCAGCTCCTCTCCTACCTTCCCCTCCTCTCTGCCGAGCCTCCCAGATATACCTTGCAAGGGCTTGTCCCCCACACTAGATTCCTCGATTTCTGCAATCCAAACCCTTGACCTCAGGGAATACTCGTCTCTCAGGCCTCTCTGGAGAGAGCATGTGTGTCTCACTCTGTTTCTGGCTCCTGCTTCGGAGGACTCGTGGCTTCCTCTTGGGATGGGAGTGTTCTGCAGCCTAGTGTGCGTCATGGAGCTTTCTTTCTGTCCCAACATGCTTCCTGACTTCAGGGCAGTCCCTAGTCTCTCAAGTGTACCTCAGTTCTCTCCAAGGAAGGGAGGAAAGTAGGTGGCATGGGGACAGAGGTCATGCTAACGCTTGTCAATTTTGCTCCTTCCCAGGGACCAGAATAAGTACAAAGAGGCTGCCCATCTGCTGAATGATGCCCTCAGCATCCGGGAGAGCACCCTGGGCCGGGACCACCCAGCCGTCAGTATTCCCAGCCCACTCCCTTCCCATTGTCTCTGCTGTCTTGGTCTCTTAGTCCTCTGGTGCAGCACTTAGGAAGGAGTCTTGAGAACTTATTATCAGTCCACTCACTAGGCACTAGCTCCTTATTATCAGTCCATTCACTAGGCACTTAGGAAGGAGGCTTGAGAACTTTCAGGTTCTGTCCAGTGAACTCAGTGCTCCTCAGTTCCCTGAGACCCTGGGGCTCCTTATTATGCTGCTTACATTTTACGGTGTACAGTAATTGCACAGAATCACAGGTTTAATTGTGACCTTTTTATTCCCCAAAATATCCCTTTCCCCTTTATTTTAATTTTATGTATATGGATAGTTTGCCTGCATATATATCTGTGCACCATGTGTGTCCAGTACCTTTAGAGGACAGAAGAGAGCATCATATCCTACGTATGGATGCTGGGAATTGAACGTGGGTCCTCCGGAAGAGCAGCCAGTTCACATAACCTCTGAGTCACCTCTCCAGCCTCAAATTAGTACATATTCATGCACATATTTAAAATACACTGACCAAGCTGGGGGAGGTAGTGCACGCTTGTAATCCCAGCACTCAGGGAGGCAGAGGCAGATAGAACTCTGTGAGTTCAAGGTCAGCATGGTCTACAAAGAGAGTCCAGGACAGCCAAGGCTATACAGAGGAACTCTGTCTTGAAAAAAATCAAAAAAAGAAGAAAGAATACTCTGACCACATTTATCCTTTCTTGTTGCCCTTTCCTTGTGTTTTTAGGAACTGGGGCTGAAGCAGGCCTTGCCAATCTTAGGGAAGCAGTCTCTCCTGAGTCAATAAGCCAAGACTTCTGACTCTTTATGACGTTTTTTCTTGAAATTTATTGAACAATTAATATAGAAATCTGTCTGCCTCTGCCTTCTGAGTGCTGGGATTAAAGGCTTGTGCCACCACGCCTTGTCTAAAACACAACATTATTATAAGTGTTCATAGACCTTATTTATTTGTATAAGAAAGGAAGAGTTCTAGAAATTTGGGTTGGCAAAATGGTCCAGCCAGTAAAAGTACCTGTTACCAAGCGTGATGACCCAAGTTCAGTCCCTAGCCTACATGGTGGAAGGAGAGAACTGAGTTCTGTAAGCTGTCCTTACGTATACATGTATGTGTGCATGTGTATACGCACACACACAACACGCCCAAGTTTAAAAGCTCTCTGAAAAGCGATGGAAAGATGAAAGGAGCTGGAGAATGACTCAGCAGTTAAGAGAGTGTCCTGCTCTTGCGAAGGACCATAGGTTGGTTCCCAGAACCCACATCAGGTGCCTTACAACAATCAGCATGTAGCACCTCTGGTCTCCATGGTACCCGAATTCACGTGTACATCCCCAAATATAGAGACACACACATATGTCATTAAGAACGTTTTAAAGAGAAAAGGTTCTAGAAATAGCTTTGAGTAGAAACAGAATGCTAGGCATTCAGTGGGTTGTCAAAGTCAAGGAAATGGACAATAGCATCTTCAGGAATGAGGTGACCTCGTGAGAACAGTTCCCTGTGGTGTCACATTAGCTAGGCAGGTATGCTGCATCTCAGCAGCACGGGGATCTTGATCTCCACCCCAGTGATGCCAGTGCTTTCACCCCATGCTCACAGGTCCATCAGCATGTTCCAAAGTTGCCAGAGCCCCATAACACATGCACAAAAACCCACCATGGCTTTCCTGTTTCCCATTGCTATAAGCACTGGACTGCAGCCAGAAATCATCTTCAAAAATTTTTAGGAGTCCCTCTAGAGGGCGATACCCTCACCCCCTTGGAACTCCAGCCATTCTGTTTGTAGTTTCTCCCTTTTCAGCCTCTGGCTCTGCTGGTAGAATATCTATTTCCTTTTTAAAGTAATTACGGGGGGGGGGGGGCGGGAAGAAAGGAAGGAAGACGGAGGGAGGGAGAAAGACAGGGAGGGAGACAAGGAAGGAAGGGAAAAAAGGAGGGAAATATCCAGAGGTCAGAGGACAGCTAACTTGCTGGAGATGGTTCTCCCTGTCGCGTATGAATTTAGGTCCGCTGGCTTGGCAGCAAGCATTTTCCCTGCTGAGCCATCTCACCAACACAGAGTCTCTGCCTCTTATTGTTGCCTTGGGCTCTGCTGGGCCTGAAGAGAGCTGGAGATTCTCTCAGCCTCTGCAGAGCTGGCATGTGATGGGGGCTGGCCTTCCCTTTCAGGTGGCTGCCACACTCAACAATCTGGCCGTGCTATATGGCAAAAGGGGTAAATACAAGGAGGCAGAGCCACTGTGCCAGCGGGCGCTGGAGATCCGAGAAAAGGTGCCCACACCCTTCCTCATCCTCCCCAGCCCTTCCCACCCTCTCTGCTGCTGACTTCTCTTCTTTCATCTTTTTTGTTCTGTTTCTCACGTGTGCACACACACTAATCACAGTCGTGTGTCTGCTTCTTTGCTCTTTCTCAGGTCTTGGGCACTGACCATCCAGATGTGGCAAAACAGCTGAATAACTTGGCCCTCCTGTGTCAAAACCAGGGCAAGTACGAGGCAGTGGAACGCTATTATCAGCGTGCACTGGCCATCTATGAGAGCCAGCTAGGGCCGGACAACCCAAATGTAGCTCGGACCAAGAATAACCTGGTAAGAAAGGAAGAGATGGGTGGGTAAAAGGAGGGGGAGGGAAAGACCTCCTACGTGGACTCAGAAAGCATCAGAATGGAGTACATTCCTTTGCCAACTTGGTGCCTGTCTCTAGTGCTGCCTCTGAGACTGAAGGGGCTGCTTCATTCTGCTGCCACAGGTCCCCCATCCTAGTGGGAGCGGAGTGGGAACAGACACCAAGTGGAACCCTGAGTCTGGCTGAGCCTCCTTCCATCTCTTGGTCCCATGTCTCTGCCACTCTGTCTCCTAGGCTTCCTGTTACCTAAAGCAGGGCAAGTACTCTGAGGCCGAGACTCTGTACAAAGAGATCCTGACCCGTGCCCATGTGCAGGAGTTTGGATCTGTGGATGGTGAGTGGTAAGGTCTGGGAAGGGGGCTGGATCGGGACCACACGTGGATTGGTAGGGACAGCCACACCCCTTCAGTCCAGCTCCTTTGGCCAGTGGGCCCTGACTCCCTATGCAGTGTCCAGATCTGTTCTCTTACCTCCTCACTCCATGTATCACCCTCAGATGACCATAAGCCTATCTGGATGCATGCTGAGGAGCGGGAGGAAATGAGCAAAGTGAGTAGGGGACCCAGCCTGGGGATCCTGTGTTAGCTGCTTACTTCTTTGTCCCAGCCCTCAATGCACAACCAACCTAGTCTGCCCCTGAGCCCCGAGCCCAGCTGCACCCAGCGTCTTTGTATTCTCATCCCCAGAGCCGACACCGTGAGAGCGGCACCCCCTATGCAGAGTACGGAGGGTGGTACAAGGCCTGCAAAGTGAGCAGGTGAGCTGCCAGGGGTTGGAGGTCTGGTCTCTGAGGCTCCTCTGGCCAGGCTCCTGACCCCAAGCCTTCGTCCCTCTGTCCCTCTGACCTTCTCTCACCCTTTTCTCTGCCCCCTCTCCTGTTCTTTTCTGGTCTTTTGTTTGTGTCGCTCTTAGGTGTCCGTAGGGCCCATGCATGCTTGGTAAGTGCTTTACTGTTGGGCTATGCTCTCCCTCCACTTCTGGATTGTTCTCCCTGCAGCCCCACAGTGAACACTACTCTGAGAAACCTAGGAGCTCTGTACAGGCGCCAGGGCAAGCTGGAGGCGGCTGAGACCTTGGAGGAATGTGCCCTGCGTTCCCGGAAACAGGTCAGAAGGCCACCCCACAGGGCAGGGTGCATCTCTGTAATCCTGGTGCTTGCGAGGCTGAGATAGGAGGGAGTTCCAGGCTAGCCATGGCTTTTAGTAAGACCCTGCATCAGGGATGGCCAGCTCAATAATTTAGAGCATGCCGCTGTTGCCCAGGACCCAGGTTCAGTTCCCAGCACCCACATCAGGCAGCTCACAGTGGCCTGTAACTCAAGCTGCAGAGGGTCCAATGCCACCTCTTGGCCTCCACAGGTACCAGCAATGGTGTGCTGCACATACACCTAAAATGAGACGAATGCACTCTTCCCAAGGCAAGGCTCCTCTCTGTCTCCCTGCCTGTCCTAGAACTCACTCTGTAGGTCAGCCTTGAACTCGGAGATCTGCTTGCTCCCACATGCCACCACTGCTCAGCCAATAAATATAGAGTGAAAAAAAAAAAAGACCCTGTCTCAAACAAACATAGAAGTCCATAGTGGGAAGGCCAAAAAGGCAGGGCCTGGGGACAGGGTACTCTGGGACTGCTTGGGTGTCTTGTGCATGTGGTGAGAGGATGAGGTGGCCCTGTGGCTGTGGTGGTTTTTAAGAATGCTCTCACTCCAAACTTGCCCTTTATGTCAGAATACAGTTTCAAGATTCCTTTCATAGCTGTATGGTGGCTCAAGCTTGTAATTCTAGTACTCAGGAGGCTGAGGCAAAATAATTACTGTGAGTTTGAGGCTAACCTGGGTGACATAATGAGTTCTAAGCTAGCTTAAGCTACAGAGAAAGGCCTTGTCTCAAAACTAAACAAAACTGGGCTGGTAAGATGGCTCAGTGGGTAAGGGTGCTTGCTGTGCCATCCTGATGACCTGAGTTTGATCCCTGAAACCCACATAAAAGTGGAAGGAGGGAAGTTACTCCACAAAGTTGTCTTCTGACCTCCTCACTCATGCTGTAGTAATGTGTGTGTCTCTTTCCCATCCTTGGGGTGTGCTGGCCAGCCGGTCTAGCCAAGTTGCCCTAAGTAAGTATAGTGAGACTTTGTCTTACAGAAAACAACATGATCAGCCAGGAGTGGTGGTACAAGACTTTAATCCCAGCACTTAGGAGGCAGAGGCAGGCGGATCTCTGTGAGTTTGAGGCCAGCCTGGTCTATAAAGCAAGTCCAGGACAGCCAGAGCTTGATACACAGAGAAACGCTGTTTTGAAAAACAAAACAAAGCAATGTGAAGTACAGCCAAACAGAACACCTGATGTAAGTTGCTGCCTCCCTACAACACCTTCAAATACTCGCCAGTGACAAATGGAGACAACACAAAATGGATTCCAATAGAGCCATGAAAGGGCAACTCTTGCTTTTCGCAGGCGTGGTATGGACTAAGCAGGTGGGGCTGAGGAGAGGCCCCAGTCAGAATCTCTCCTATTACAGGTCTCAGCTGACTTAGTAAGTTGTCCACTCACTCTGGGCCATAGCTACGGGTAAGTCTGTGTAAGGATGTGCTAGAGCCACACAAAGCAAATGTTGCCCAGGAGCTGAGCAAGGGGTAGAGTAAGGAGGGGGAGCTCTGTCCTTCTCAAGAGCTGCGTCCTGACAGTTGAGGGACGTGAAGCCCCAGCTCCTTCCTTTGGCTTTTTTTTTCTTAATTTATTCTTCTCTCATATATTATACCCTGACTGCAGTCTCCCCTCCCTCCTTCCTTTCCATCCCCCACCTCCCCTCTTCCCCAGATCTCCTCCTCCTCCATTTCTCTTCAGAAATGAGTAGGCCTCTCAGGAATATCCACCAAACATGGCATAACAGGACACAGTAAAAACTGGGTGTGGTGGCACAGGCCTTTCATCCAAGGACTCAGGGAGGCAGAGGCAGGTGGATCACTCTGAGTTTGAGGCAAGCCTAGTCCACAAAGTGAGTCCAGGACAGCCAAGGATACATAGAGTAACCCTTTCTCAGAAAAAGCTAAAAAAAGACTAGGTTGGATGAGGCAACTCAGGAGGAGAGAAGGGGTCCCAAGAGCAGGTGAAAGAGTCAGAGACAGCCCCTGCTCCCACTGCTGGGAATCCCCCAAGAACAAGCTACACCATGTTTGCTCCTGAGAACTATTCAGGCTCCCTGATTGTTACTTCAGTCTTTGTGAGACCATATGAGCCTTGGTTATTTGATTCTGTGGGCCATGTTTTGTGGTGTCCTTGACCCCTCTGGCTCCTACACTCTTTCCTTCCCCTCTCCCTCGGGATTCCCTAAGCTCCACCTAACGTTTGGCTGTGGGTCTCTGCATCTGCTTTCATCCATTGCTGGATGAAGCATCTCTGATGATGACTGTGTCAGGCTTGGTCTGCAAGTATAGCAGAGTATCATTAGGAACCATTTCATTGCTTTTTTTAATCCCTGTCAGTTTGGTTCTATCCTAGGTCTTTGGGCTGTCCAGCCTCTGGTTCCTGGCCCTCCAGGCAGTGACAGGTGTGGGCTCCCACTCGTGGCATGGGTCTTAAGTTGGACCAGTCATTGGTTGCCCACATCCACAATTTCTGTGCAATCTTTACCCCAGCACATCTTATAGGTAGGACAAATTGTAGATAGAAGGTTTATGGCTGGGTTGGTGTCCCAGCCCCTCCACTGGAAGCCTTGTCTGGTTACAGAAGATGGCCACCGGTTCAGGCTCTGTCTTTCCCATTGCTAGGAGTCTCCCTAGGGTCACTGTTGTAGAGTCCAGAGAGTTTCCATTGCACCAGGTCTCGGCCTCGCTCTGAAATGCCCTCCACTTCCGGTCTTCTCTCCCAGGACTCTTTCTTTTAAACATGTTACTTTATGCATGTGGGGAGTTTGCCTGCTAGTGTGCCTGTGTGCTACATGCGTGCAGTGCTCAGAGAGGCCAGAGAGGGCACTGGATCCCTGGTTCTAGAGTTACAGGCATTGTGGGTGCTGGGAATGGAATCTGTGTCCTCTGGAAGAGCAGCCGGTGCCTTGACAGCTGAGCCATCTTCCTAGCATCTCCTCCATCTTCTTCCAGGGTACTGACCCCATCAGTCAGACCAAGGTGGCAGAGCTGCTTGGGGAAGGAGATGCTAGAAGGACCGCCCAGGAGGGCCCTGGAGACAGTGTGAAGTTCGAGGGAGGTGAAGATGTGTCGGTGGCCGTGGAGTGGTCAGGGGTAAGTCTGTTCATTGCTGCTGACTGGCCTGTGCTGCCTTGCGGGCACTGAGAAGCCCTGAGGCTGTCTCCCCCCAGGTTTCTGCAGGGCGTTGGTTGTGTTGTCCCCATCAGGTAGTCCATCCTTTCAGGCCGATCCCTGGGAATCTGCTTTCGACAGGGCTCTTGTTTTCTGTCGTGGTCTCCAGGGATGAGGTCTTGCGCAGAACAAATGGCAGGAGTAGATTTAGAAGCTGGGCCACATGGAACCCCTCAGCTCCCATGCCTGTTCTTCCTGATAGGATGGCAGCGGCACCCTGCAGAGGAGTGGCTCTCTGGGCAAGATCCGGGATGTGCTCCGTAGAAGCAGCGAGCTCCTGGTCAGGAAGCTGCAAGGGACTGAGCCTCGGCCTTCCAGGTACGTGACAAGCCTGAGGTGTGACAAAGCAGGCAGCAAGCCTTTGCCTGCAGCTCCTCTTGGTGCTGGAGAAATGTCCTAGAAGTGCCCGACATGGAGGGACAGTGGCTGACCTCGGTTCTCTCATTCTCCCTTGTAGCAGCAACATGAAGCGGGCAGCCTCGCTGAACTACCTGAACCAACCGAATGCAGCCCCACTCCAGGTGAGAGTGCTGAGGGGCACGCTGCTGGTGGTGAGGGAGGCAGGACTCCCAGAAGGCAGCCCCAGGGGCAGCTGGGAAGGCAGAAGCCTCACTCATAATGAAGGTGGTCTGGGAGACAGAAGCCCTTCAGGAGGGGGCTGACAGCATGGTATAGGAGGTGCTAGGCACCAAGAGACAGTCTCAGATGCCTTTAACTAGGGAGGCAAAAGCAGGCAGATCTCTGAGTTTGAGACCAGCCTGGTTTTTCAAAGTTCCAGCACAGCCAGGGCGACACAGTGAAAAAGACCAAAAAAGAAGAGAAAGAGTTTCAGGCCAGACAATTCAGTGGCAAGTTAATCAGAATACCAGCCACCGGTACTCTCTAAACTGGTACTTTGGGGTTAGGAACAATTCCAGAATGATTGAGAGTTGCTTGTGGTTCTGTTGGGTATAATTGTCATACTCCTTACCTTGAGGTCTTCTTCGTGAGGAAATAAAAAGGGACAACAAAAAAAAGCATTGAATTCCCCTTTGAGAAAACAGCAATGCTACTTCAATGCGGTGACCTCTCGTCCAGCTCATTCACAGGACAAGCCTGCATTCTTGAGTTTCTTCCAGGCAGTTCCTCCAGCAGACTGTGGCTAAGCGAAGTCTTAGAGCTTAGGGTGAGGTTAGAGGCTCCATCCTTGGTCCAGAGAGAGACTGCAGTTGCGAGCCAGGCAGGCTCCGGAGCGCCCAGCGATGTGTGGCTGGTGGTCTCTTTCAGGTTTCCCGGGGCCTCAGTGCCAGCACGATGGACCTTTCTTCAAGCAGCTGACATTCACCTCCAACCCCCAACTTCTGCTGGATCTCCACAGCCCTCACAGCATTCCCCATTGCTTCTGTCTCTTCCCAACCCAATGGGATGGTGAAGAGGGAGCAGTTTCAATGAAAGGTTGCTGCCTCTAGGGTCTAGGCCCCTTCCTCAGGAACCCTCCCTTTGGAAGGGCCCTCAGGATGTGCTCTCTACCTGGAGGGTCCTCTAAGTAGTTCACTGAGGCTCCCAAGGTGGGTTAAAAAGCAGGTATGCACCTCAGGGATGCCTGCTGCTGGCTTTTCTGTCAGAGTTTGGGGCTGGACAGCTGAGCTGCCTTGCCCTGGCCTCTTCCATCCCCTGCCCTCTGCTGCCTCACTCCAGGTCCATGTATTTCACAGTGTTTCTTTAATAAAAGAATCAGGTAACGTTTCTGCTGCGTGGGTCTTGCGGAAGCATGGGCGCGTTAGGGGTGAGGGCAGTGGCAGATGGGGCAGCAGGACGGTTGAATGCTTGGCTTTCCCCCGTTTTTCTCCCTGTGTTTGTACCCTCTTCAGCAGGGCCTGGAGGAAGGCATCTGGGGGATGGGGAAGGAGGCCCACAAGAAGAAGGTGCTGTGGACTGGGATGTCAGGGACATGTGGTGGCCATGTGGCAGGACCCTGGAGTCCTGGCGCCACTTCTCCTGCCTGTGAGGCCCTCTATGGCTTCCTTCCCTCCTCCCAGCTGCTTGGGGGAAGGGAGGTCTAAGCAGGCCTGGGGGGCCCTCCAGAGCCAGAAGGGGGACAAGGCACTATCCATCCTCTCTTGCATATCCTGGAGGCCTGTCAGCAGCTGGGGCCCATCTTCTAAAGCTTGACTTCTCCTGACCCGCCTCCCACACCCCTTGCTGCTTTCACAACAAAGAAAGAATGTGGGGGTGGTGGCGCTGGGGGTGGAGGGTGCCTGGAGCAAGGGCTGTGTTGGGCCTCCCCACAGCTGGAGATTTGGCCATGCCCTGACACAGCCCAGACTGCCTGGAGATGGACTTGGGATGAATGTCTGTTTAATAGCTTTCCCTGGCTTTCAGAGCCCAGTGTGTTTCTACCTTGGGTTCAGATTTGTCCAGTGCCAAAGCTGACGCCAGTCACGCCCCTCCCCCCTCTCCGGCTACATCTGTTCCGCGGGGCACCACGGTTATGCCCTCCTTGTCTTCTTTGTGGCCACCGGCGACACCCTGCTGGTCTGTCTCTCCCAGCACTTTGGGTTGCATATTATCTCCACCAACTTGGAGAATACTGGGCAAACTATTGGTCCAGACCTCCAGATAGGTCCATAGAGACCATCTTCCCTAAGGGGACACGGAATCCCGAGAGTCACTTTGGTTCCCTGGCGTCCCAGTGGACAGACTACCCAGGTCTTTGGCCCTCCCGTGAGACTTCCACTGTCCCCACATCCTTCTCCAGATCCTTCCCTCAACTGCCAGCTCCTCCCCGCGACGGCGGGGAAGGGGGGGGGCGTCAGGGGGTGGGGCGCCGTGCAGACGGAGGGGAGGGGGCGTCGGGGGCGTGGCTTGGCGGCTGCGGCGGCGCGCGCGAGGGCTTGGAGGGACGGGGCGCGCGCGGCTCCAGCTCCGGACGCCTCGGGCTCGGGCTGCAGCTGCTGCAGCGGCCCCCGCGCTCCGGTCCGCGCGCCCGCTCGCCGTGCGCCCTGTACCTCGCCGGCCCCCTGCAGCCCGCCAGGATGGGAGCCCGCCCGCTGCCTCTGCTCAGCGCCCTGCTGCTGCCGCTGCTGGCCGGTGAGTCTCCCGAGAACCAGGCGGATCCGAGCTGGGCTTTGGGAAGCGCGGGAGTCCCGGGGGCTGGAAGGGCTCTGGAGAGGTGGGCTGGGCGACTGGGGAGGTGGAGAGGCTCTCTGGGGGCTCCGGGACCCGGGGTTGGCGACGCCCCCTACGCGGTGGCGACGCGGTGCATTAGGGCGCGGGGGCGCGGGTTTGCTGCGAGTTCTCCCCGCCCGAGCCGAGAGTTTGCTCGAGCGTTGCCCAGAGTCGCCGGCTCCCGAGTACTGCTGCGAGCTCCTTTTTGGGGGAGCAGCGCCCTCCCATCCCGTGAGAGGGTGCCGACACCCAGGAGTGCCCCGGGCCTTGGGGTCCAGGTGAAGGAGACCGGCCTGGGTCCCGATCCCGACCAACCTGACCTGGGGCGCGCCTGGCGTGGAGCTTTGTTACCTATGCCGGCCCGACGCGCCCGGGTCCCTCACTGCAAGTTCCGGGGCAAAGCTGGAACCCCAGAGGGTCCTGAGGGTGAGGGCAGGTTAGACTCATCTCCCCCTCCAACTAGGCCCGAGCCTTGAGCCCACTTGGTGCCAGGGTCATATCCCGAGAGTGGAGGGTCCCAGGCTGTAGTGATGACTAATGTGTGAAGGCCGCTGCCAAAATCGGGCATGGCCGGCTTGCCAAGGTGCGGACGGGCTTTGCTCTGCTGTTTCCTGGATTTCCATCTTGTCCGTGCTCTCGGAGGAATGAAACCTCTCTCTTCTTACGCGCAGAAAGGCAAAAAAAAAAAAAAAAAAAAAAAAAAGAGAAGAGAGAGAGCTCAACTCCGGCTTTTTGTGGAGGGCCTCTGTACTTTGGTGAGGGTGTGGCCCGCATCTCCAGGGCAAACAAGGGGCACCCCGGTCCCGCAGATTTCTCTTTCCTGGCTGATCACACCTGAGAGCCAGTCACCACTAAGTAACTTAACCGGAAATCGACGAGCTACCCAAATGCCCAGCCTCCTGGTCCCAATCAGCAAGGACCAAATGACTCCTTCCTCCTCACCTTCCAAGACAAACCCGCAAGTGGTGGTCTGTGAAACAGCCCTCTCGGGGGGGGGGGGGGGGGGGGGGGGGGGGGGACACGGACATTCTGTCCGGGTCATAGCTGGTCATTTAACAGGTCCTTTAGAAGAGTTCCAGCCAGGAGGGCAGGGGCAGAGAATGTGGGCTGTCATCTTCCCAACTAGCTGTTGAGGGCCAGGGAATGAGAGTCTCTCCCACTCCCAGTTATTAAAAAAAATAAAAAATAAAAATAAGAGGTAAGCATAGCTCAGAACTCATCCTGGGAATTTCTTGCTGGTGTTTCTGGAGTCGCTCCATGCTCCTTATGGTAGTTATTGCTCATGGCAAAGTCCCACATCTGCTCCCGGAGGAAGTATGGAATTTTTTTTTTTTTTTTTTTTTTTTTAATGCAGCCAGGATGAGGGCCTAGCCATATGGGCAAGCAGCCCCAGCTCACAGGCCTCCTGGGCCGGCTGGTGGCTTTTGGTGTGTGGCTCTGCTGGATGTGACTGCCTTTGCTGCTGAGGTTTAGCTTTCTGAAGTCGAGGGCAAAGCTCAACACTGAGCTGCTGGCTTTCTTCTATGAGGACTCTGATGTTTGAGATGCGAACGTCTGTGGTGGGTGTCCTGGGGAGGGTGTGTGTGGGCAGGAAGTTGGACAAGAGGGAGTTGTGGGTATCTTGTACTCCGAAAAGAAACATTTTAATGGGAGCCTTAAATCAGTTCTACCAAATGTGCCTTGGTGTGGAAGCTATCCGTGTGCCATAAACTATTTCAGCTGAGGTGCCTGCTCTTCTCTTGAAATCCGGGGACTCTACCTACCCCGATGCATGACTTCAGGGGCCAAGGGGTTTTTAATAGATCACAGCACTTTTTTCCATCCTGTTATTGAACTGTGTCATTAAACTGAAGTTGTGAGGGAGACATCACTGCTGACAAGGCCGGGGCTAGGGACCCAGCCTGGTCAGGTTTTGAAGTTAGAAGTTTGAGCAATTATGCTGTATTATGAGTTACTTTCCAAACCTAGAGATCCCTGGTGTGGTAAATACAGTGAAGAGAGGAAGAGAAGGCTTAAAGTTGGGAACCTGGAATCCCCCCTACCCCTTTTTGAGACAGGGTCTTGTTATGTGCTCCCAGGCTGGCCATAGACAGCCCTCCCTGGCCTAGAACTCATAGTTCTCCTGCCTCAGCCTCCAGAGTGCTGGGATTAGAGTATAGTAGGACCACACCTGGCCCAAACCTGGGATTCTTTTTGTTGTAATGTTGTTAAATTATTTATTGCATTTATTTGCGTGTGTGCTCAAGTTCATATGCCACAGTGCACTTGTGGTGGTCAGGAGACAGCTAACTGACTAGAATCTGTTCTTTCCTCTCCCTGTGCTGGTCTCAGGTCATCATGCCTGATGGCAGGTACCTTTTTCTGCTGAGCCGTCTCTGTGGTCTATGTGGTCAGCTGTGATTTCTACCTGCTCCTGTTTCCCATCCTGGTCCCTGCACCTCTAGGCTTTTGCATCTCTGTGGGAACTGAAGCCTTACTTTCTGGGGTATGCTGTTTTGAGGATTGGATTCCCAGACACTCTGTGATTCAGACTGGTACTTGCTTTTATCAGTGGTGGCTTTAACAGTGGGAAGGCAAGGTAACTCTTCACACCATTCCCAGACAAGGGTGTGGGCAGAGCAGCAGGGACTGATTGACAGCTCAGGCTATGGTCCTGTGATCTAGGCAAATTTCTTCACGTCTTTCTTTCTTTATTTTTGAGACAGGGTTTCTCTGTGTAGCCCTGGGTGTCCTGGAACTTGCGCTGTAGACCAGGCTGGTCTCGAACTCAGAGATCCACCTGCCTCCTGAGTGCTGGGATTAGAAGTGTGTGCCACCACTGCCCAGCCCGCCCAATACACCTTTCTAGCTTTAAAATAATCTTTGATAATAAATGTGTCTCATCTGCTGAAAATCTCTGTTTTAGCCAGCTGGTCTGTTTGCTGTCTTCTAAAACATACTTGTGTCTCTCCAGTCTGGGCCATTCAGTTCTCTTGCCTCTGCTCATCTTTCCTCTGCCTGACCCAGCTCTACATCTTCCCAGAGCAACCAGCCTGTAGAATCAATCTCTCAGTCTCTCTCTCCTATCTCTCTGTCTGTATCTGTATCATGTATGTAGATATGTATGTTCTCATGTAGCCTGCATTGGTCTTGACCCTGCAGTGTAGCCAAGGATAGCCCTCTGAGCCTCCTGCCTGTACTCTACTAGTGCCACAATTACAGGCATGTCATCATGCCCAGTTTTGTGCAGTACTGGGGTTCAAATCCAGGGCTCCCAGCATACTAGGCAAACGGTCTGCCGACTGAGCTATCATGGACTCTCTCCATCTTAGTATATATACCTTCTGTGTTTTCGTCTTCGTTAGATTTCCCCTGTAGAATTCCTCTAGCACAGAAGCTTATGTAGGTCAATTAGAAAAGAGAAGGAGAAGGCTAGCAAAGTTGAACCTCCCTTTTCATCCTGGGCATTGGGTCGGGCGTGGGAGTGTGTGTGTCCAGTATAGCCTCTCTGAGGCCGCTTTGCTTGGTAGTCCTCTGCTCCATCGTGGTGGAATCAAGGGAACAGGCCCTCTCTTCCTGTTCCCTGCCTGGCTTTTCTG